GTAGAGGCCTAGGGATTTGGGATTCCTTAGCCCTAGATGGTGTTACCGTTCTGTTGCTGCTGCTGTTTTAGACCTAGAAAGTTGGTATTAATTATCCTTTAACACCAGCCGGCTGTTGCAGGGAGCTGCTTGTTTGTCCTGGCCGCCCAGAACCGAAATAATCACACAGAAACTGTATTATTTAAAACCCTGCTTGGCCCATTAGCTCTAGCTTCTTATTGGCTGACGCTTACATATTAACTTAATCCATCTCCATTAATCTTTGTCTGGCCACGTGGCAGTGGCTTACTGGGTAAAGTTTTAGCGTCTGTCTCTGGTGGCAGCTCCATGGCTTCTCCCTGAATCCACTTTCCTTCTACCTTGCTATAGGCCAAGCCAGTTTCTTTATTCATTAACCAATAAAAGCAACACACAGACAGAAGGACCTCCCACACCAGCCAGCGTCAGAGCTCTTGGCTCAGGGTGCAAGACCTTTGGCCCTAAAGACTTTACAATAGTCTCCTCTCTGGCCCTTTGGAGTCTTTTACCCTTCTTTGGCCTCAACTTCTGCCTTCCCTTGCCTTCTCTCTGCCTCGGCTGCCTTCTTCTGATGCTCTCTTTCTTCTCCAGCTGTCAGGCAGCCAGCTTCCTTATCATTAAAACCAATTGTGATCCTACCAGATTGTCAGCCACGCTTAACACTAGCCCAGTGCCCATGGGAGAGGTGGGCCTCTTCCCCTGTCTTAGCAGGACCTATTATTTCCTGGAGTTCATGGTCTTTCAGACACTTCCTTACTCTGCTGAAGAAACATTTCCAAGTAACTCCCTTAGGAGATCTATGTAGGAGATAAACACCCCTGGTTTTCACATTCCCCAGGCCTATTTAATGTATATATTAAATAAAGGTGCTGGACCAGGGGCTCTCTAATGTCTATTCCAAGCGTATAATGTTGTCAGTATGTGTCCATTTATAGCTTCTGAGCTCTAGGAGGAAATTTTAAATAGTTGCTACTTTCAAGGGATTTGCAGCTTTTTTGGATGAACACATGTAAAACTGTCAAACTAGTAACAGAAAGTCATCAACACAAAAGATATTCCAAGGTAGGGGCTGATTGGTTATTGATTTGAGCCTTGGGCTAAAGGAAAGAACTAGAAGCTGAGTGTGTCTGAGGCATCCCTGCTGGAAGGAAGATCTCTGTGCTGTCAGAGGACAAGCAGTGAGTTAGGGGAAGCATAAATGTTTATGTGGCAGTCAGCAGTAATTGACGGCCAACATTAGGTCTGATGGAGAAGTTAACGGTCAGCGGACGAGGCCTTCCTGTTACCTGTTCTGTGTCTCTGAGTCACCAACAGTTATATCTCACCAAATCTCCGCAGGTAATAATTTTTAAATATGGCATCATAATGATTCCTTTCATCAACAGACACATTTTCAGACCATTTTAGGGCACAACAACTAACTTCCATTTTATACACACACACACACACACACATACACACACATGCATGCACACAAGCACACACATGTATCTTCCTTCTTGAAACATGAAGGACTTGGCAGTTGCCTTTATCAGGACTTTATCTGGATTGGGATGAAGATGCCTCTCCTCACCATCTCATCACCATTTGACAAAATGATTTTTCAACCTGGAAGTGTAGCTCACCGGTAGAGTAATTGTCTAGCATGTGCAGAGCCCTGGATTTGATCCCCAACACCACAGAAATAAATGAATAGACATTTTCACGGTGACAGTGGAAAGTGATTATAAACCATCTCTCCTTCCCAGACATGCTCCAGGCAGGGAGCATCACTCTTACTGCTCGACCTCACTATCCAAGGACCACCACTGCATGCATGGATGGAGAGGAGGCTGGAGGCTTTAAAGGATACGGCTCCTCCAAGGTAGGTCTCATAGACTGATGGGTCTGAGTAACCAGCCACGTGGGGTGGTGGGTAGTTTTCATTCAGCCAATGCCAGCTCCCCTCCATTGCAAAAAAGGAAAGAAAGGGAAAAGAAGGAAATTTCCCAGAAGAAAGAGAATCTTACTTTAAGTCAGTGGCCTGAGCAGTTTCTCGAGAGTGGGTGCTATAAGGAAAGACTGTGGGGGCCACAGGATGAGTCTCCCTACAACCGCTTCTCTTGAAAGCATCCTCCAACAGCCCCGCCCCACCCCTAGGAAGAAGGACATGGGGCTGAAACTCTGTTTCTGCTGCTCTCTGAGTAAATTTGAAATATTAATTCTCCTGCACAAGCACTGGCCTTGGCTGCTTTATCCATCCTTATACGCCGGTGCCTGACATATGGTGATGCCTATCTTGGCCCGATGAATGGGTGGGTGGATTAGAAGATGCCACTCTTCATCAAAGAGTAGAAGAAGCAGTCTAAATGTTCAGTTGTCTCTGGAGCTTTGAACAAGTCAGGAGGATTAGCAGAAGAAGACCTGAGCCAACAGGAGGACTTCCAAGAACTGAGATCATCCAAACCACTCCCCAACCAGGGCAGTAGAGGTAGCAGGAAGGCCAGGGGTGGGGAATGCTTTCAAGGTCTGTGGTCTGTGGTTTAGGACACGGGGCAGGTGCAGAGGGAAGCAGAAAGATGAAAGATGCTCAGAAACAGAGCTGTCACCTTACCAGCTACCCCACCCAGAGATGAGACAAACAGGGGCAAAGGAGAGCGAGGCAATGTGCATGGAAATCTGAGGCAGGGGGATTGCTCTGAGTTTATGACCAATTGTGTTGCCTAACAAATACTAGGACAGCCAGGAATATATGGTAAGACCTTATCCGAAAAAGAAAAAAGAAGTAGAGAGAGAAAGAAAGAGCAGGACACATGGCCCCACCATGTCTAGAGTGTTTTTTGGTTTGGTTTGGTCTTTATATATAGTAAGGCTTTGGTTTTTATTTATAGTAAGCCTTTGGTTTTAACCTCTCACATTTCATCAATCCAGTCTCCTAGAGAACCAGACATTCCAAATGTACAGATGAGAAGCCCTACCTCCCAAGGGCCTGGTATCTCCCATTCCTTGTGGATAGGTGCCAAGGCCTGCATGCCAAGAAAACTATGGAGTGGCAACTGAGGCAAATATGAATAAAAAAATGCCTGGATTAACATGCTGAAAATGCAAGTCTATATACCACATTCCACCTGTTATTTCTTGTGTCATTTGCTCATTTCTTTGTATCCAAGTTTCTTAGAAAGCTGTGTGTGTGTGTGTGCGTGCGTGTGTGTGTAAATTCCTTGATTCTGACCTTACAGAGGAACTGTGAAGGAGAGAAAGCCAGATCCCTGGGGTAAGGTTTTAGAGGTGAGTGGAGTGGATGCTATCAGAGCAGCAGGACCTGGGGTGGAAAGACACCTAGTGCTCCGCACCCAGAAGGATATGCACTGGTGCATCACGAGCAGGTAGACCCCTGCTAACTCCCAATGCAGGGTTCCCACAAGCCTGGTCCCCTCCCCAGCGGCACCTAGTGCAGCCCTGCTCCCCTGATTCCATAGCGTTTGCTTTCTCAAAAGCCTACGATATGTCCATTTCACCGCTTAGAAAAAAAATTCTATCAAGACGCACCTTTCCTTGTGACCTTGGTGTCCTGGGGGAGACAGGCAAGAGGTCTCTCTTTACTCCAGTAGGTGGACCTTTCTAAATCATGGAAATTAACACCATCTTGGCTTACGGCAGTATCATTTAGAGTTGGCCTGATCACATCAAATGTGGGGCAGGCTGCTAAAGGCATCTTTCAAGGGGGAAGCCCAGCTGAAGGCTCTGACTTTCTACTCACATAGGACTCCTAGCTACAGCATCCTGCAGGGACAGAAAGACTTAACTGATGAGGCAGGACCAACAGGTTCGGTTGAGTGGGTGTGGCCTTCAAAATCATCACAGAAGAGGTCCCTGCTGAGCCCGCTAGGAGCAAGGTCGTGAGAAAGGCCAGAGCCAAGCAGAAAGACACTTCTATCTGACCTCTGCTTTTGGGAACTTGCAGCCCTGTGCAGGCAACTAGCTCTCAGAGGCAGGCTCTCTGGAGAATGCATAGGATGCCTGCTTTGCCAGCCCAGCACGCTGCTGAGGAGGACGCCTCCTGAGCGTGCAGGGTCCGCTGGTGGCAAGCAAGCAAGTTGGAGGTGGGGGAGGGGCGGGCAATGGCGATTGGGGGCTGGAGAGAGGAGACGGGAAAAGCTCTTGTTCTCCACCTCTGCTCACCCTTAGGCACTATTTTGGGACGGCAGTGCCACTAGGGTGTGCCCAAACAGCCAGAGCCCCGACAGAGACTTATTGGGGAGCGCTCTCCGCTTTCTAACGGGCTCACTTCTGGCCCCATGCAGTCCAAATCCACATGCGTGTAAACTAAATAAAATCATCCTTCCCTTCCTACGGTGTACAGCTGGGGTTCTGGTAAAAATGCAGGCACCAGGAAAAGAGACTCTGGCTAAAGAGCTGTCATCCCCCCCCCCCCCCCCCACACACACACACAGGCTCCGCACCCTGTAAAAGTATGATCGGGTACAACGTGTCTCCTAAATCTGTGTGTCTCCCTTCCCCCAGACCAATCCACTTCTCAGACTCCCTCGAGCTTGGTCGAACCCACCACCACCACCACCACTATCACCACATCCATGAGTTCCTCCTGTTCTGCCTCCTCTCTTTCCGAAGTAGTGGGAATCAAAGAAAGATGCGCTTGATAGGGAAGATTCCTCTCGCTAAGAAAGGTAGCCTAGCCTGGAGCCGTCGGGTCCCTCCCTGGGGCTCCAAGATTCTCGGCCAAGTTTTTAGCTTTTCTCTGCCTCGGTCACCTCGCTTGCGAGTCAGAGACCAAACGTGGCACCTCTCCTTTAGGATGCCCACTCCAGTGGCTTCGGCCACCTGCCAGAAGACCAATCGTGGGAGCACAGCCTGAGACCGGTGGGCACACCCACGGGTCTCAGCCAGTGCTCAGACCCTGCTCTGCCCACTCCCCCAGCAGGCAGCCTAGGTCGTAGGAGCGGCAGGGGTTAAAGAGTTGCCTCCCACCCTCCACTTCTTACCCAATCCCGGCACGAAAGTGTTGAGGAAGAGACAGATGACAGCCACCGGGAAGGGCATGCAGGGGATGGCGGCGCGCAGGGGGCCCTTCTTCTCGCGAACCTGCACGACCACCCCGCTGGACGCCCCCCGGGGATCTGCCGCTGCCACAGCCGCCGCTGCTGCCGCCGTCTCGGAGTCTTTGTGCAAAGGCTCCATGGCTGGATGCACTCTCCAAGAACCCGACAGCCGCCCAGGACACGAGGGCAGGCGACGGTCGGCTGCCGGCTCTGGACTGCGCGCTCTGCGCCCTGCTCAGGAGGCCAGTGCGCTCCCGGTGCTGCTGCAAGGCTGGCGAAGAAGCCCGCCCTCCCGCGCTCCACGCCCCCACCCGGGGCGGAGGGCGGGAGGGGCAGCGTGACAAACGGTGACGGAGCTCCCTTGCCCCTCCCTTCTGGGCCCCTTCCCCACCCCCTCCACACCTCTCCGCTAAGACCATCATTCACCAGCTATGGAGACCTGGGCGAGCAAAGAAAGTAGGAGGAGAGTACAAGGATGCTGGTGGTCCAGGTACTTGGAGGAATGGACACACCTCATCCTCCCACCACTGGTGAACTGAGAACCTCACTCAAGGTCCCCAAGAGCTGGGCGTACACTAGACTGATCCAGTTGGAAAAGCCTCTAGGTTGAGTCTCTCTTCTGGAATGTGTGTTAATGCTAGAGAGATGGAGGCTAGGAGGGACGCGTGGAGCCTGAAATCTAGGAAGTCTTCAGTTCACTCTGTGTTTCAAATCACGGAGAAAAAAGCAACGTGTTTCAAGTCACAGATGATGATAGGACTGGAAGCAAGAAATGTAGCTTGCAGCTTTCTAAACCCATGCATGTCTGCAAAAGCTGTTCCCTTCACGCGCCCACACACACACACACACACACACACACACACACGTCTCACATACAGACTCACGCATAGAGACGCAAAAAAGGAAAGGAATGCTCCCTCAAGAGGAGGCTGGTAAGAGGAACCATGCCCTGACCAGTGTTGCGGGCCATCTGGGATGTTATTACTGATTACCTGTAGTGAAAAACCAGTGCTACGACAGCGCCTCCTAGTGTTGATAATACACCAGTGGGACCAAACAAAAGGCTTCGGCGGAGCCCAAGCCCACCAGAGTAGAATTTGGTCTTCTTAATAAGACTCTTCATCTACACATTGAATACGTGAATCGATGGAAGTAATCTCCTCTAACCGGGCATGGCGCTTCACGCCTGCAAGCCCAGCCCTTGAGAGATGGAGGCAGCAGGTGCTTTTCCTACCAAGTTCAAGACCAACCTGAGCAAGACCACATGCCTAAATAGATACATATTTTTTAAGTGTCCTAGGAAAACTGCAGGATGTGGTGATCACAATGACAGCACCATAGAATCGGTGACAAATACAGGTGGCTGGGATGTGCTGAAGGGGTCGAAGGCGCTGTGGCCGAGACCTTCCCATGTAGCCAGCTGCAGGAGAGCTATCAATTACTAAGGCCTCTCCCAGAAAGTGACACCTGCCAAGATTTCATGACTAAAGGAAATTACTGGCAGGCGTGTGTTTTATTTTAAACATTTGTCAAAACATCCTCCGGTGGGCACCATCCTCAACTCTGAGCCACACTTAATGCTCGCCTTACCTCTATGAAGTATTTCCTCTCACCCTGTTTTATAGGTAAAGCAAGTGATCCATCCATCAAGAGGTTGAGAAACTGTGCAAAGTCCATCCATGCCAATGTGAATCCAGAACCCACGTGCGTACATGCTATTTCATCTAAAGATCCGGAAACTCACCTCCCATCTACGAATGCTCCTTCACAGAATACCTGGACTGCTTTTAGATCCTTTCATCACTATTAGTCCTGAGGAAAAGGAACAGAGAGGGAAGAGATTTCCATTTCCCCAGTTTCCTCTGCCAGCCTTGTGGGCGCCAACACCTGGGAGCCGAGGGAAGCAGGGAGCATCCAGACATGAGCAGAGCTGGGGGCCTAGAGCTGCTAAGGTGGACAGGAAGCTGGTTAGGGCTGAAGATCAGAGGGATTGGGACTTATTCCGTGGTCTGGGAATCACTGACATTGTAAGCAGGGCATCATATAAGTTCTATTTGTTCCTACTATGCAACAAGTGACCCTCAAATGGAACAGCTTGACGTGGTTAATTTTTAAATGATCATACTCTGAAGTAAGAACACAGAAGAGGCAGTTCCATCACACACACACACACACACACACACACACACACACACACCGCCATTGTGTCCAGATCTGTGGCTGGACTCACATAGCTGATGGCTGATGGCTGTGTCCGCTGGGACCACAAGATCCACTTCTAAAAATATTCTCGGGTCAGTGACCTCAGTGAGAGAGCTTGAAAGCTGGCTCCTCTGGGGTGGCCTTTCAGGTCACCTCCACACAGTGTCCCTATGACATGGACTTTTTACAGTTAAATATGGAACTTGTGAGGGGAGTCCTCCTGAGAATACAGACGGCAGAGCCAGAAGAAGTATGGCACCCTCTCCTCCGGAAGTCACATCCCTCCACAGCAGCACTCTGTAAGGGACTCGGTCACCTGCCCAGACTTAAATATAGGACAGTCCACCTCTTAGCAGAAGAAAGAGGGCCCAAGCTCTAAAGAGGACGTTATAACTATGTCAACTGGGAGGAGCACTCAGTCAAGAGTGAGGAGTACGGCTGGAGAGGATGAGGCTTAGACCACATGCCCACCAGGACTGAGGGTGGATGAGGAGGACTCCCCTGACCTGTAAGGACAGAGAATGGGAGAGACAGCTCCCAAATGATAATTGGGCAGAGTTAGCCGACAGAACAGAACTGCTGTATTTGAGGAGCAGATTGCTCACTTCTCATTGCTAGGATCAAATTCCTGATGAGCAACTCCAGGTCATATTTGGCTTACAGTTTGAGGAGGCACAACCTAAAGTCCATCGTGGCAAAGTGAAGGCATGGTAGGAGGACCCTGAAGCAGCTGGTTGCCCTGTTCAGCTCCTAAGTCTTGCTGGGAAACGACTCCCCCAAAGCTTCTTCCTCAGGATCACACAAATCCACTTGCTCCTTTCACTGTGTGTCCCACCCTCTTCCCCGCTCTCCTTGGAGTCTCCCCAGCACCCCCCTGACCCATTTTCTCCCTAGCATTTAGCTTTTGCTCCTTTTCTATAATAAGCTGCTTCGCTTAGCCAATTACTTGCTGGCCCACTTAACTCCTAATAAATCCATTAAGCTGTAATCAATCCTCAGAGCGTCCTTAAGACCATCTCTCTTGATTAAAGTTGCTGGTGATTAAGTCTGAGGGTCTCTGTAATCACCGCTGATAACCTGAACAATAAGTCAATTTGATTGGCAGGAGAGAGAAAAAAAAACACAACAGTTCATCTAGCCAGGCCCTAACCATGCAACTGCCTGCCATTCATCCTTCTCCTCCACCTCAAAGACTGAGGGTCAAGATCCCAATACCTCAGAGGAAGCCGTCTTTGAGGTGGGTGAGAAGCCTGCAGAATTCTAGCCTCCTCGATGGTGAGAACGTCCCTCTTCCAGATCTTGCATCATCAATTTCTCTCTATCCACTTCCTAGCTCTCTTCCCTATCACATACACACAACCAGGGCAGGACTTTCTGGGAGATGCCAGTCTCTGAATTGGTCTGGAAATTCCCTGTGTGGTGTGGCTATTCTTAACACTAGCAGAAGGGGACTGCAGGCTCCAGTGACCTGACCAGAGTGTGGACATGTGTAGCGAGGGGCTTCTAGGAAGCACAGACAATGAGTTACCCCTGAAACTGAAGGTCGGGCTCGCTCTCCTCCCCACTCATCAAAGCACCGAGTAGAGAGGGAACAAGGACACTTTATGGAGACACACACCAACTGTCCATCTCCCTCTCCTCTGAGCATCCTTAAGATGAAGCCTGGCTTCTACAGCTGTACCATCCTAAGCTCCAACTCCCCAACCCACGGCTAGCAAAGGCTTGCCCATCCCAAACACCAATCTGGACTGAATTTGTCCCCTCATCCAGGTACCAGCCAATACAATGCCCTGACACCCCACAATTCACTGACGACTTCTCAGAAGTAATAGAAACCCAGAATGGAACAGAAGACTCTCTCCAAACAGAGAAAAGACAGGGAAATAAGGGGAGGGGGGGCTGGGGACAGGAGGAAGGGGCACAACATAGGGAGTGCTTGCTTTTGATCTTGAAGGCCTTCTTCTCCACACCCCAAGGGTGGTGCGTCAGTCAGTTTTCCATCACTGAAACAAAACACCGGAGACAGCAAGTCTGTAAACCGGTTGATTTTGACTCAGCCCACGGTCAGTCTATCCTGACATTCCACCTCTTGGTGGGAGCGTGTGGTGGGACAGCCAGGCTAAAGAGAGCAGAGAGGGTGGAGCCTCACAGTCCTCTTTGAGAACATAGCCCCACTAACCTAACCACTCCTCCTAGTCTTACTCTAAAGGTCCATCAGTTCCCCACAGTGCCAAGCTAGGGACTCAGCTTTTGGCAATGGGCATTTAGGGAAGACTCCAAATTTAATACACTGTGAGCTGTATGCAATTATACTCACCATCATGGCATTTAACTAAGCAAGCAAAAGCCTACAAAACAAAGCAAGAAAAGCTAGGGCTACCTCAGCTGGCAGAGCATTTGCCTGGTGAAGTACAATTAATAAAAATTCAGAGACGATATTGGGGCTCAACCTGAAGACCAGAAAAGCAAAGCAGTCAGCCACTGGCTCTTACCTCGACCTCAGTCTGAAAATGGTGATCCTGCCTCCAGGAAACCTCAGAATGAGAACGAGAGTTGTCTCCTCCCATCTCTAGTTCTGGGATTAAGGGCATGCACCACTACCATCTGGTTTCTCTGGCAAGCTAGTATGGCTTCTGGGATTAAAGGTGTGAGCCATTGCTCCTGATCTGTAAGGCTGGCCAGCATGACTGTTTTACTTTTCCGATCTTCAGGCAAGCTTTATTTATTCAAATACAAATGAAATGGCACTATAGCCTGGTATCCATAAGACCTAGGAGTTGACCCCAGTACTACATAAGCCCAGAATCCCAGCACTTGGGAGGTTGAGGGAAAAAGATGGGAAGGTCAGAATTATCTTCTCCAATGCAGAGAGTTCGAGGCTTGCTTGGGATACCTAAGATCCTGTCTGAAAAACAGAAAATAAAAAGAATAGCAAAGCCAACTAAGACAGCACGGACCACCCTCTCCATCATCCACGCATCCCCAAGGATGGGTCAGTGGAGACTAGTGTCCTCTTAGTGAGTTCCCTTCAAGTCTGTCCCTGCAGCCCCTCCCCGTAACCAGCATCCCTGCCTCACGAGGCAGCACACTGGCCCCA